GTATCTACTACAGCCTTATACTTCTGTGGGACTGATGTGTCAGGCCATCTGATCCACACAGTCCAGTAAATCCGATTGTCCCCTACCTCCACCTGGCTGGAGGCAGGGCCCCTCTAATGGTCGTCACAGTGTTGGACACTTAAGTCGTGGTGAAAGGGATTATTCTTCGTTATCACAGGAGCTGGAGTAAAATCAGCTCTTCCATTCCATCTGGGAAACTGCTCACCAGAGACTGAAGCCGTAGCTCTCATGGGACGATCAGTCTTGGCCCTTACTCCCCTCTTCAGTTCACTCACCCGTTCCTCCAAAGCTGAAGTAGGTTTTCCATCCCACTTTGTCATGTCTTCTCCGTGATCCAGCAGGTAAAACCATAGGGTACCCCGTGGCGTATACCTCCTGTATCTCCTCTCTTGAACAATAGGACACCTTTTGTTAATAGCTGAGACGTGTGTTGGTACACGTGAGGAGCTGGATAAATCAGATAGATTGTCCCTCAATTGTTCGAGGTCCTGGGACAGTTTTTTTCACAGCTGAGATGATGGGAGGGGTGAGATTGTCTTCGAACTCGGAGTTTATGAACCATTTCATCCACTGTTAGTGGTACTATGTCATTCCAGGTTACTGTGGCCAATGAATGGGCATATGATGACGATGCATTTCGTGTAAGTTTTCGCCACATGGGTCGTGTACATTCAACTTCATCTGGATCTATAGGTGTATCCCCGTTATTCGGCTTGATGTGATAGATCATCTCTACGATGGCTGATTCCCTCTGAGACTGGATGCCTTTGTCTATAGTAGTCCACTTGGCCGAACTACTCGTAACATCGTCCTTGTACAGAAACCTTTCTTTCACAGCTGCCAAGAGCCGCCTCCAAAGGCTGAGGGACTTTTTCTCTCTTGCAATTGCTTTGTCAATTCCCCCTTCTCTAGCAAGTGATCCCAGCTGCTTGGCTTCTGTACCTTCTAGTTCGTGACCATCGGCCCCATTGTCCCAGCATCGGAGTAACTAGGTGATGATGTGCTCCCCTGGTTGACAGGTAAAATCTTTTTGCATATTCCGCAGCTCGGTTGAGGTCCGAGGTCGAGAAGTTACCTCTTCTTCTTCTTCGTCATGTGATGATGACTCCTGATCAGATTCTGGACCGGGTGGTGAATTCATTGGTTCTTCATCTCGCTTCACCCTTCTTGCCTCCTTTTTGCTTGCTCTCTTGCGTACAGGGGCAACCAATATTGGTACGAATTGGTCCTCTGGTTTGGCTGCAGTGATTATCACTGTGGTTTGAGTAGCAACTGTACTTGTTGCTGGGGGTGGTGTAGCTGCTGTGCTTGGAGCTGGGGTAACTGCACTGTCTGTTGCAGTTGAAGTTTGAGCAGCTGCTGTCCTTGCCGCTGGGGTAGCTGCTCTGTTCATTGCAGCCAAAGTTTGAGTAGCGACTGTCGCTTTGCCCTCAGATCCGCTGACATTCTTTTCCTTTTGAAGGTGCTGGATAGTGTTGAACAAGGCCCTGTAAGCATAGGCCAAGCCCCAGCACGTTGCCATGATTTGTCCATCTCTGGTATGGCCAGAATGACCACACACCTCATTTAAGTGTTTTACTAATTCTTCTGGATTTTGCAGTTGTTCGGTAGTGAAATTCCAAAGTACTGGAGGGGCCCACTGACCTAGATACTTGCCCATACTATCCCACACACCCTGCCACTCATGGCTGTCCAGCCTCAGGGAAAATCTCTCGGTCCTCCTACATCGTCGTTTGACCCCAGACAAGACCCAAACCTGACTCTGCTTAACTCTTGAAATCAGTAGTGGGCAAAACACACTCTGTATGCATGTTAGCATGGTGATTCCCATCACCATCAGCAAACAAGTCTCAACAGCATTAAAAGGCCATTCAAAAAATTCAAAACTCTCAAATGTAAATGGTCTGGGGGGACGACTGGGAGGGTAAAAGGATGTCTCCTTCACAGGTTGAGCACCTTAGAAGGAGAAAAAAGATGTGTAATTGCTAAGCACCTCCATCATGTACCTCCCAAAGTATAAAGGTGGTGACCGCACTGGGAACATAAGCCAGATCAGTTTCATGATCAATGATTCTGTTGTATTACAAGTCATGACCATAAAGTACAATGAGACAAAAACCTTAGCCCAAGCCCCACACTTGAAAAACACTAATACAGCAAATACCGGATGGAAGTAAGATACGATCTACTGGAACTGTGAGATCAAGAGGAACAACCTTGAGAGCCAATAAATCAGCATTGTGACGAGTGACTATCAATCAAGTCAGATCTGTTCTTATCTCAACCCCTCGTGCCCCACGTTGGGCGCCAAAAAGGACTGTTGTGGTTTAAACCCAGTCAGGTAACTTGTTCACTCACTCCCAGTGAGTGGTGCCGAGCTGACAACAATCGAGGTCCGTGTTCCACCCCCCCCCCCCCCCCGGGTTCTCCCCTTCCCCACTCCCAAAGGAACAGGGAGGAGGATCGAAAAAAGTGCAACTCCCACGGGTTGAGACAAGAACAGTCCAGCAACCAATGTACAACACAAATCACCACCGCTACTATCAACTACAACAATGATAAGGGAAAATAACAAGGGAAGAGAATACGATACCACCGGCCAAGAAAATGAGTTCCACCCGGAAGCCCGTGTCCTTCCGGGTAACTCCCAGTTACCCCCCACCCCGGGCATGACGTGCTGTGGTATGGAATACCTCCCTGGCTAGCCCGGGTCAGGCGCCCCGTCCCTGCTTCCTCCCGGCTTCCCCTCCTCCCTGGCAGAGCATGAGCCTCACAAAGTCCTTGGTCAGGGTAAACATCACTTAGCAACAACCGAAAACATCGGCTTCACCAACACTGTTCTCAGGCTGGAAGTCAAAACACAGCACTGCACCAGCTACCACGAAGGAAAAAAAAAAAAAAAAATGACTGCTACTGCTGAACCCAGGACAAAGTCAAACCACTTGTTTTCTAAACAGATTCTTATTCTGGTTTTCATGAAATAAATGTATCAGATACATTTCTGGTAAAGTGTTTTTCCAGCTGCAAGTGGAAATTACTGAACAGTTTTCACCTGCCAGGGTGATACAATTTGTACCTCTTGTCAACTGTGTAACATCATTGTCAGATAATGATCACCCATATCCATTGCCAACTCTAGAAAGGATTGCATGTATCTAAAAATAATCTTTACATATTACTTTAACAGTAGGTAATAAAAAGACCTACCAAAATTTTAATCACAAGTTGAACACATCGATAGAGCTAGCTAGGATATTGTTTGCTTCTCCGACTCAGTATCTAACCTCCAGAAAACATTAAAAAATTACACATAGCATTGCATACAGCCAATTAGCTCATTTTTCAGTGGTTAGATACCTTTACCAAATACATTAGTGTGACTTCTCTCACCTAAATTGGTGTAATTATGCCAATAACCACAGCAGCCAAGGTGGTGTATTTAGAATGCAGTTCCAAACCAACAGGAACAAGAACTCACAGACATGTGTGACAGAGGAGGAGAGGAAAGAGAAAAAAAGTATTGCATTTGCTGCATAGTACATACCCTTCTACAAGCTTGACGCTATTGTTTCAGCACAGCTATGAAAGGCCCACCCTGCAGTAATCAAAATGCACTTCTGGACTTCCGTGTGGGAAGAGGTAGGATAACAGAAACTGTTCCGTTGAAGAAACTAGTAACTTTCGAAAGCTCCATAGTAACTTGCAGGGAAGTGTTAAGTTCTGGGCTGGCGCCTGTTTTTGTATTTGAATAGCAAGCTCGCCACCTGGTGGTAGAATGTTTTACTCCAAAGGTTAACGTGAACACATACACGCACACCCACCTCAGAAGGGTTAAGCGTTCCCCAACCCTCTTTATTTCTAGTTTACAGAAAAACTTGCAACAGCAAAACTAATGTTTTCCTAAAATCATGATTTCTCTTATTTTCATCCATCAGAAGTCTGCCGATTTAGCTGACTATTCACAAGACTCATGTAAAAACTCTCAGTATGGAGAACATTAGTTTCAAGTAGCAGCTTCTAACTACACATTCAGCTAGGAGTCACAGCACTTGCTTATCACCCTGGTGATGAGTAGGCTGTATAAATGCTGTAACCAAAAATGCTTGATTATACTGGCAGATTCCTATTATGAATTAAGAATTAGGTACCCATTAACCATTTCTTACAACATAGTATTCATTTATACAGTATATGCCTACCGATATCTAAGCCTTCAATGGACAGAAAGCCATTATTCCTAGAGATCAAACTGAAGAGTATTCAGAATATTAGAGTTACAGAGTGATGCTTAAAAGACATGAAAATATTTATACTATGTAAATATTCAAATATAAATAGGGAATTAAAGCAAGTACTACATTGGGGTTTAATGCAGTTGTTTAAACCAGCACTACTGTCAAAAGAAGTAGTTCCCCTCATCCATCTGTATAACACTTGGCCGTTCTCCCCTCACCTTCTGCTGGCACAAAGTTTAAAAGCCACCACATAATTCACCAGAAAAAGGAGCCTTTTCCAAGATGAGACATACTAAAAAAACTGAAAAAAAAAAAATCTTAAATTCATCACGATACTAATACAAGGAAAAAGCCCACGTCAACTTTTAAAATTCTGGCCATGCATTTAGAAATACTTCCAGACTAAGATAATCATAACTATTTACAGTATTTCTAAGTTTCTATTTATGTTACTGTGCCATGCTTAAACTGGTCAGCCTGGTACTCATATGAGGTAAAAGTCAGTCCAGTAAGAATTAAGACAAGCAAAGACAATGCAGAAACAGTTACTCAACAGAGCTTGAATAAGGAATTTTCCAGACATGAAGTTCAGGGGAAAAAAGAAAACAAAAAAAAGAAAAACCCATCAATTGCCAATGTTACATTTACATGGACGTTTTAACCAGCTTCAAAGCCTGTCTGTTCTAAGTATTCAACCCTCATTCAACTTTTAGCTCAGTTCTAGGAAGAAAAAAATTCCCAACCTTTACTTGACAATTTAAACAGAAATACTTTATTCAAAACTTTTTCAGACAATAGATTAATGCAGGAAAGACATAAAAACTTTCTACATTGACAAAATTGAAATGGGTTTCCATACAAATGTAGACTATACTCCTAAAAGCCTTACTTTTGTTCATACAAATTATAAGCAAGACAAGCCATACGAAAAAGGTTCTCTGCTTGCTAAAAAAATAGTTTGAGAAACTGGTTACAATATCTTAACAACACATCTAACACATTCAATATGAACCGTCTTGCAGAAGAAAATCTAAATAAAGGAAAAGAGTACCTATAAGGAGTTTCACTGCATCCTTCATCATCTGAGTGCATTCATGATCACTTGGGCTATGTTTTTTTCTGTATGTTTTCTTGTATTTGCTTTCATTTGCTTTGCTTGTTTGTATTTTTTTGGGTTTGTTTCTTTTTTGTTTGTTAAAACAAAGCTGTTCTTTTCTATAGAAAAAGTTTTATAGGCTTGACTGCATTGTAGGGAAAAAAAGTCTCTAGTATAAAAGTATTCATAGTATCATAGTATCCCCTTCCCCAACAGCACCTAACAATAAAGAGATCAACAGCAACTGACTAGTCTACAGTGGTATAATCTAAGAAAAATCGATCCCCAAAACATTGGAATATTTCTATTCCAGTAAGGTTTCAAGAAAAGGACTGGCATATAAATCTGGGTGACAGGGACATCACTTTTCAAACAGTACATTGTTCAGAATCAACAATTCACATCCTGTGAGAAAGTTACAGGTATTTCTTTTACAAAACTTCCTTTTCATTGACAAAGAAAATTAAGGCCATCAGACTCGCAGCATAAAACTTCACATACAGAAAATACAAAAATACGTTGTGCTTATGAGCAGGCTCTGTTCTGCAGATAATATTTACCATAATTTGAGGAACCCCGCTGACTAGAAGTTTACATGATCACACAGCTTCTGTTAGATGCCTTCGAGCTTGCCTGTTACGAATAGAAAGAGTCATCTTTGAAAAAAAGAAAAAAATCCAGCAGCAGAAAATTGAGCAACTCAAAAACAATAACCATTTTTAACCTATGAAATTATTAGCCTGGCACAGTGTAAGCAAGAGTCAGCATGCAAAAATTCTACATCTGTTGTAGCCTGTATGTAAAAGAATAATAAATATCTATCTTTTCCTGTGAGAGGTAACAGATGACATATACCAGAAAAAACACAGCTTAAATTATTTTATTTGAATCTCAAGTCAAGAAGCATCAGCGAGTTTAGACAGGTGGTGAAAACTTCAGGGAACACATACAAGTACCTTGTGAGTTTTAATCTAAAGAAATCTCATCTCTCCATAACATTTTTATAAGTATAGCTACTAAGACACACAGTTTAGCTGAACTACACAATCCCAGAAACAAGGAGAGCAGAAAGATGGACTTTTATTGTATAACTGCAATAAAAACCTGACTCTATTAAAAGTTATGATTCGGTTATAGGCCAAAATCTACAACTGCCAAAAAATTATTTCCAACACAGCCAGCTCTCTCCAGTGTTTGTCTGTCTACACATACACACTTAATTACTGTTATATATTAGCTTTTCTAACTGACTTTAAGATATGTAATAACTGAAATGTGGCCAAGTTTTAAGGCAAAGCAGCAAACGTGAACATTGCATTACAGGAACATGTGTTTCATTCCTTTTTTTCCTCTTTAGAAAAACTAGTCAAAAGAGTAAGATAATGGATAAAACTCAGAACATGAACAATAAAGTATGTTGTGTTTCAGTATTTTCCCTTACTAGAATATTTTGTGGTCACTGCAATTTCACACCTTTCCACTCACCACTGCATTTCTTCAGGATGCACAAGACATTTATTTCTGATAGTGTCTTCAGTATCTCATTTCCTCTATCAGAGAAAATGAGATATTTCAAGTTCTCAAAACTGTAGATAAATTTAGGCGTTCCTGCTTAGCCAAACTTTACCAAAACTGCCCTGGGGAAGTTTATCAGGAACAGAGGGGGAAAAAAAATAAAATCCTGAAATCTTTAAGCTTGAAAAGCTCTTTTTAAGAAAAATTCACTTATCTATCAAGGGAATGTGTGAAGTAGTATTTTTATACTGGTTTTAGTAACACAACTTCATGCTTTCAAATTTCAAATTACTGATAAAACAAATCCAAAACAAAAGAACATCCACACCTTAACAGGTATGATATTTTCCATAAAATTAATGACTTCAGGTTGAAAAAAAGAGATACATAACCTTGTTAACCTAAAATAACATACCTGCTGGTAATAAAGGCCTTGCTTCTCCATAGCTTCAGCTTCTTCTTCCTCAGCTCCCTCCTCTTCCTCTTCATGTACAGTTGTTTTAAAGACAGTGCTTCTCTGAGCAACCTCCTGCAGAGTTTTATTTTGAAGACTTGATTCTTCTAAATATTTGGTGCTAATATACTTATATTTTGAGAAATGGGAATTCCAGCTGTTGGGAAAGCTCCTTGTACTGATTTTCTCTATATACTTCTTATGTACTGCTGTGCATAAACAGCATTTATAACACCTTAGTTTTAAATACCTTACTGATTTAAAAGTCTAACACAACACTCAAAAGTTCTTTCAAAATCTGGGTGTTTTTTTTAATGTATTTAAATATTTTATTTTAATTGCAAGGTGTCATAACAACTGCCCTACCCAAAGTTTTAACCCTCACCTTACCAGAATTAATGCCTCGGTGATTAAGGTTAGTTTCACTGTAGTGTTTTCCACACCCCATAAACACAGTTTTAAGAAAAGTTTACCAAAACCTTTTCTTTTCAAAGCATACTCCAAGGCATTGCCCAATTCCTGGTATGAAGTCAGTGTCTGAACAAGTCATTCTACTACTTATACTGAATACAAGGGAAAAAAATCTCACACTTCATTAAGACTGCATTCCTAAATTGCAGTAAAGACAGACAGGGCTACAGTATGATTAGATGCAAAGCAAAAGGAGAAAACTTTAGCACGCACTCATGTGCACCCATGCATGAAGTTCTCAAAATGGTTCTACCTTCATCTTTATAAAGGATGGCACCGCACAAAGATAAGTTTAAACACAGCTTAAGTACTTTACCTCTCCCTGAGAATTTTTCAGTACAACTTTCACATCTTCACCAGTGCCCCAAGAATTCTGGTTCTTCCAGATGAGGTCAGTGGGAGGGCTAGCAGTTACTCCAGCATTTGCAGCCCAGATCTGTTAAAAGAAGTCACACTTTAGCATTAATTACTAGTCTTACGTATTTCCATGTTATTTAACAAATTAATGTAGTCTATTTAAGTGACACTAGTGAATCTCCCCCAGTTATAAAAAAAATAATATGGAAGTGCACCTCTTTATGGTCAAAATGATTACTTCATATAGGAAGTTTCTGAAAAATGTAGCTTTGTCCAACTTTTTCCAAGTGAGGGATACAAGTAATGCCCAATACAAATACAGGCGATTATTTTCTGAACATGTACACAGAAAGTACAAAACTGAAAATTTTGCATCTTATTGACATGAAGTCCATTTCAACTGAACAGCTGAAGCTTGGCAACTTACTGTAACAGTTTGGCCTGCCTTTAGTACATATCTTGAGGTATATTTGTAAATAGCAGAAGTGTCTCCTATTTTTCGGATCAGCTCCCAACCTCCCATAGGTTGATCCTAATAAAAAAAGGAGAAAAAGACTTCCATCAGCAGTCATTTTCTGTTACACATGTAGGGTTTCTTACATAAGGCCATGAGGAAAACAAAACTTTCAATAAAAACTTATCGCTTGATCTTCAACATGCCAATTAGAATAACATTAGGTTTGTCTTCTTAAAGCTTAATGCAACCTGCTTTTCAGTTCTGATGTTATGAACATGTTATATATTTATAACTTACATCAGTTTTGGTACTGCTTAGTAATGTCTGCTTACACTATTTCCTATCAGTGATAATGCTACCTGTAATACTTTACAGGTAGATCACTTGCAAGGCAGAATTCTGAAGAGTGATGTAGCACTTAGCAGGTGCTATGGAAAGCATTAAAATTAAGTAGGAAAGAGTCACTGTCAATCAGGAATACTGTATGAAAGCTTATTTTGTGACACACTAATTTTAGTGCCCTCTCTTATACAGCATGCTTTAGCTCCAACAGTCCACACAAAGGATAAAAGCTGAAAGTGTGCCAAGTATGCCTTCTATCTCTGATCAGCCCACTATATACATGTGCATCTTCAAACCTGTCTAGAGTTGTTCTTCAAGCGGATGAACTTTCCATCAATGTCTATCTCCTCAATAGAGACACTTCCAGTGGCAGAAGCTGAGTGGGAAATGCTAACACTACTGCTGGCTTCAGATTCTTCCACATCTATCCTCTTCCTCTTCCCTCTGGTTGTACGCACACTACGGCTTGACGAAGCGCGTGAAACAGTCACTCGGGAAGATGGGCTTGCAGAAAGTTGCAATCTATTGAAGAAATACACATCCATCACCTTTTGGTTTTACTTTTTCTACACTTTATTTTATAAACTTCCCTCTCTTTCTCTTCTTTCCACAGAATTACAGAGCAAAATGCTACAGGAACATGGTAAACAAAGTGTGTTACACAAAAAAGTGAAGCCTTGGGTACTTTTTGGAGAATTGAATGACACGTTGTCAGCTTATTAATACTTTTGGAGCACAGAATTCTGAAAGCCTACTACATTAAGATTATAAAGGCACCTCTATCCATCTGTTAAAAGACTGCATTCCTGGGTAGATAGAACAAGTTCAGAAAACGCTCTTAGGGGAACTTAAGCCATTGTAGAAAATTTATGCAAAAAAACAGTGGCAAAACCTTTTTCTGTTTCATCCCCACACTTGAGGAAAATCAGCCTGGATCAGTAGGATGCCATTCAGAAAATGGTCAAAATGCTTTAAAGTGACAGCTGTGACTTATCAGGCAAAAATTTTCAGTATGGCTGAACTCTGAGGTCAGATGTGGAAAATGTAACTAGCTGATAAGCTGGGCAATCAAATAGCTATTAAAACTTTACTCAAATTATTCTATACTTAAACAGATTTGACGAACAACTAAGGAGAACGTAATTAACTCCGAAAAATAATATTAACCATAGCACCAAACAGACCTAAAAATTATTTCATAAAAATGATAATTCATTATATCCTCAGTGCTTAATAAAAAAATAATAAAAGAATGGTATTTGTTCCCTTGAGAGCTATTGGTCCGATACTCGAGCAGCCTGGTCTCATGGAGACTTATTTAGAAGTATCAGAAGGATGGTGCAAAAACAAACAGTGCCTACGAACCTATAGTAAAACTCCTAATAAATACATTACCAGTAAGAACTACCTTTTAACACAGAATGGAACAAGCAAGGAAAGCACTTATACCGCATTTGTTGCTACATTCTTTCATACCTCTCCTCTTCACCCTCAAGCAATTTCCGGTATGCACTGATCTCCATATCAAGCGCTAGTTTAACATCCAGAAGTTGTTCATAGTCATCCAGCTGCTCCTGCACCTTACTTCTTAACTCGGCCATTTCTCTCTCTTTCTCAGACAGTAATTTGTGACAGTTTTCCCGTTCCTTGGCCAAGCTGTCCTCAAGCTCTTGCACTCTATCTTGCCACGCTCGAGACTAGAAAACATCAAAAACCATCAGTGATGCAAAGGAAAGCCCCTCCAAACCTCCATGCAGTCTGCTGTTCAGGTAAGATGAAAATAGAACATTACGTTAAGCATCCTTCCCATCTCTGAATTCAAACTCGTATTTTCATATTCATGTTCTCCACCTTATCTACTAAACACAACACCTAAGTTCGAGTCAAACCTTTGAAAGCCACACTTTGAAAGACAACCACATGCTCCATTTTCCTGAGATCTGAAAATACATTACTATGCTTGAATTTACTCAAGTTGAGAAAAATTGAGCTGAAGAGTCAAACCATTTTGAAATGTGCTGGACAGGTAACAGAATCAAAGCACAGCTCACTGTACTTCAGATCCTGCAGTAAGTAATTGCTCTTTACCTTTGAGATGTCTGCTTCCAATTCCAAATTCTGGGAGGAAGCTTCTCTAAAGGAATAGGGATTGTTGCCAGTGAAAGCCTGTCTGCCTGAAAGCCTTCAAGCCTTGCTGAAAGTACAGTCCTAACTGTTCCATGAAGAATGAGATTTTTAAAACCACATTAAGTCAGTACAACTTAATATCACACATACAAAATAGAATGCTTATCAAAGAAAGGCCAAATGATGACATCTTTAAGGTTTCTTAAAAGTATGCTTTATTCTGTTTGATAGTCTTTGAGGTTTTTTTTAATTAAAAGACAAATAAAGGAACCACATTGTCTGGTTAAGTCACTGAGTTTGCTGTGCAGGCATTCTACATAGGAAATCACAGCTATTAAAGCTTTATAATGCTATATATGGACAATGAAAACCTGCACTCGAAGTCTGACACACAGGCCCAGTGTCTGGTTGTCAATGTTAGAGTCATAGAGTGTCAGATGGAAGATCCCAGTGAAAACTGCTACAAAGTTCAGTGCTGGCATCTCAAATCTGCTAATTGAGTTGTCTTCTTCCAAGAGAACAAAGCTAAACTTAAAGCTAGCAAATGGAAAAGAAACCTTTACTGGTTGACATCACTAGCCCTACAAAAGAAAAAAAAAAAACACAACAAAAACCCAGCCAAACCACCACCACACAACAAAAAAAAAAAAAAAGACAAGACACACACAGACAAAAAACACACCAAACAAAAAGTCACAACAAAACAAACCAAAAAAAAACACCACACAAAAAAAAAACCCAAACTCACATCAACAAAATAGTTTTTGGTGGACAACTACAGACAAACTGGCAGAAGTTGGTTTTGGTAGTCCTGAAGTTAACAACCAACACCTCTGCAAATTCAGAAGCAAGTTTTCTGAACCCAGCTGTCAGTCACAAATAAGCAATAGAACACAGGTAATTACTAAATTGAGAAAGAAAAAAACCCACCAACATCAGAAATGCCTGAAACCCCAAAAGAAAGGTGATGGTAATCTAAAAGCAGAAATAAGATGTAAGTGGACAGAAGTCTCCATCCAAATCTTGTGTAACCTCATGTGCATTCATCGCCTATCTTTTGCAGACTAATTTGCCTATATAATGGTAAAACCTGGAAGATTCATACAAGTATCTGCCAAGTTATTTTGATAATTATGAAATAATACCCCCGAATTTATATTCTTCACTTTAAATACACAGAACTTTGAAGACCTAAGAGTCTACTGTACAGGAGTAATACAATTCAAACCTTATCACAGAAAGAATCAAAGCTAAATATTACTAATATCTTATACTTTTCAAGAAAATAAATGTTTTTGTTGCAGTTTCAACTGATTAGTAAATTACAGAACCCCATTGCAGAACCAACTCCTAACACTTAATGGTCAGACTTGATCTTAAAGGTCTTTTCCAATCAAAGTCGTTCTATGAAAATCAGAAATCCACTGCAATACACATGATGTTACTCCCATCAAATAACCTAGCACTGAACATACAGTTTGTCATAGGTTGCATCATACTTCTTTGGGTGTGATCTATATGCTCTGTGATCTGACTATGTCTAATTAGTTTCTGCTCAAGACTCTGCTCTACAAATACTCAAGTATAGTTATTTGACGCATTTTCAGTCTCACTTCACCTTAATCCTGGTAATGATCCATTAGAACCAATACCTCAATCTCCCACTCAGCTCTGAATTTATCAGCAAAGGTGCACTCTTTTCCCCTGGTACCAAACATCTATGTGCAAAAAAACTTTAACCTTCTGTGGACAGAAATAAAGAAAAGACAAAAGTAGTACTCGCCAACCTATGTTCTCCCTCTTTCATCCTCGATAAAAATATTTCTTAGGCATTGCACCTTTGAGATGCTTACTGCCCTGGCACCAGAGGGGAGTCAGCGGAGCCCAAATCAACTGGTTGGTGTGCACTGGAGTCCTGTTCAATCCATTCCTCTGCTATTGAGATGGCAAGACAATCTGGGCAGGCTTTATGGAAGTGCCACCTGGGGTTTCAAAACTGTTGCCCCTAAAGCAGAGTTCAGTGTGCAAAAGTCAATCAATACACTGAGTTGAGACATTCACCCCTATTACAATTCTGTGCAACCAGCATACCTTCTAAGAAACAGGTATTTTTTTTCATACAAAATCCTTTTATACAAAATTCTAACAAGGAAGGAACCACATAAAAATAAGTGATCAGTTACCCACATTTTACATAACAAAAATGTAAAACACACGTGTCTTGATTTTTAAACAGGTCATTATACCAAGCTGGTCTTATATTTACATATGAAATCTCCTCCTAGAGGTGTGGTTTTTAATATTATAATTATCTAAGGTAACTAAAGGTTATATCTTCATCCCATCATCTACCATTAAGATCTTGCCTAACTTTACGTCCTGTTGCAGCTCCTGCTTAAAAAATAGCTATGCTTGAAGTACTTACAGCATTCTACTTCTAAGGACTTCCAGCTCCTGTGCTCCCATTCTGTAGTCTCAAAACAGACCATCATAATTGCTCATTTTGTAAGTTTTTAACCCCTTTCAAAAATCAGTAAGTTCACTTTTTTTTGGTAAGACTTCTAGATGCAAACTGAATCTAGGGTTAAAAAAAGATAACCAGAGAGAGACTGCATATTCCAGTTCTGGCTTTGAATGTGGAATCCTATGCTAGACTGCCCAAGTTACTACGGAAAAGAACTAAATTACGTGTAATGTCAAAAGCTTTGAACATAGAGCTATTGTCTAAAATTGTCACACCTATTGCAAAAGTCACTTAAGAGTACTGCCTTTCAAGTACTCATTCTGCAGCAGAATACTGCACCCAAAAAAATCAGCTTTGTCAAAAGCAGGCATTAAGAAATTTGAAGAAGTACAGAACAGTAGAAGACAAATGAAAATCATGATGCTGAACATACTTACAAGTTAAGGGAAAGTCCTTTAATACAGAAATTGACATCTGTAATAAACAAGACTGAAGAGTCACAAACAGCTTGTTACCTCTTTCTGAAGGCTGGTGAGATGGGAAGTCAGAGTATCAATTCGTATGTGACTTTCATTCAGTTCTTCTCTCATCAAATTGGTTGCAGAACTGTTCATTTCAGAGGACAGTTTAGCATTCTCAAGCTGTAGTAGAGCAAGTTAAAACATCAGTTTCAAAGTAACTTTTATTACAAGAATGAATCACTAAAAACCACATGAAACACTAAGCCACAAAGTTCCTCTCTACGGTTCTAACACAATGAAACATATGTTTTGTTTTTTTTAGGGTTTAGGTATGATGGCTCAATTACCATGCTGGACTGCCCCACCTGAAATCACAATCCTCTGAATATTTATTCTAGGATTAAAAAAGTTTCCCTTGAAGACATCACTGAAGTTGGACTGTGAAGTTCAGTTTTCATGTTGGCTAATGTTTAGCATTGTATATTTATTTACTGTAATTAAATTACTAATTCTCTAGAAAACAAACTTATGTTAATTTTCAGACAACCTAAGCAAATCGGTAATGTGCCTTCAGATTACAATTCCAGTGTCATAAGTCACTACTGCTTCATAGTAATATCATCATGCTGAAGAGAGGGAACAAGAAAGCTTCAATTATGAAAGGTCTATTAGACTAAAATATAAATTGAAAAATTTTTCTCTATTTTACTTAAGATTTTCCAAGTCAGATGTAAGCCCCAGACAAGCATCCGCACTCTGTTAAGACTGTAGAACTAAAAAGACAGAACTATGATACCAGATTCAGCTTGTATCAACTTTTCTGCTGTAACATCCCACCTTGCTCTAAAACATACAAACTGCAACAAGTATAGCCACAGAAACCAGTTTCAGTCGAGACATCAGGATCCCTCCTGACAGAAGTGCTGAACTGTATTAGAGGAAGGAAATTATGAAGTACAACTCAGCTTGAGAGTATGCTTCCTCTCTAGAAGAGTGAAAGCAGGTATCACTGCGTGTGGTAAAGTTTCCACACATTATGTACAGGGTCAGAGGACTCAGGAAGCTGTCTTCTCAGCAAGCCCTATTATGAAGTAAGTTTCATTAAAAAAATATAGGCCATCTTATTGATCATCAAGGCTATGTTACAGTTGATATGTAACAACACATAAGTTTTCTTTGAATTCACAGCAATCCCAGTACCAAGTACCTTTTCCACACACTTTGCCTTCACATGGGGCTTCTTACTCAAATGATACCAGAAAATGCAAGTTCACATTCAAATGCATGGTAATTTTAAACCAAACTCCATAATAAACTCCTCTGAAATGCATATCTTTTCATCAAATAAAACAAAAAAGTACACCAGACAACTGCATGAAAACATGTTCTCACTTTGGCACAGTAAGTCTGTTCAAGCTCTTCTTTGTATAGCTTCACTTGTGCATCGTGCTCCATTCTTATTTCACTAAGGGCTTGGGCCAGTTTATGTTCATATTCAATTTGACGCCCAGAATCAACTTCAACCAAGCGAGTCTCATGTTTCCTTTTTGTTTCATTGATTTCCTAAGAAAAACAGAAAAATTAGATTCATTGGATACGAGACAAATTTCAGAAGACTATCTGCTGAGTGGATAGTGATACAGATTTCAGCTAGCTTTGTGGATCAGCATTGGTTTGCTTCACATTGAAACTTTCAGTAGCAACACAGAGCCATCTGTTCACTCTGATCTGCCAAGGTACTTTACTTTGCAATAGCCAGTAACTGAAATAAGAGCTAGGATACTATCAGCATGTAAAGTCACATTCCTGAGAGTTATCCGTATTTTCACCAAATACACCTCAATACGGTTATATTTTAGGAAGACATCCTCCCTTTCTTCAGGTCTCTTCTACACCTGTACAAAACTAAAATAAGGTGAAATTAAACAGTTACTTTCACGAATCAGCATTTTCCTCATTTATTTGTATGCTTGCCTGTGGCCTCTGGAAAAAAGATTCCAACACCACGAGCAAAGCTGAAGATGCACCTTGCAAGGAAAATCACAAAACCACATACAGAACAAAGGACAGCGTGGCTAAGTACATTTGTTACTGCTCTGAGGTTCCTTCTGGAAAGCCTTCAATAACTGCAACTGAAAGGGAGTCAAGAAGCTCTAGAAGACAAATCTACTGTTTCCATTATTCAAAAGCATCCAACAAGGAAGTTTCAAAATTAAAAACCAGCAAAAAATAGCATCTGCTTGAGTGTCCCTCTCCACTTTATTTCTCAGAAAGGGATTATGCAAGAAAATTGACCTACTTTCTCATTGCTATGAGATGATGTGCACCATGGGCATAACTTAATATGAAACATGACATATGAAGTTATTTTATGACAAAGGCTAAGAAAAAAATATCTGGAAATCTTCCAGCTAGAATACAGGCAAACCATGCTCCGAGTTAGAGTTCAGACCTCCCAAATTAAACTATTTCAGTATTGCAAGAATAATCCCCCCAATAGTCTTCTTTCCTTTAAAGATGTGAATTCTTGAGACTAAAGCATTTACCTCCTCATACATATTTTTACGGAATTCCAAGTCCTCAATGAGACTCTGACAACGGTTTTCAAGATCAACCTTCTGTAAGGTTTCATTTGCAAGCTGTTCCTTGACAGCAGCCGAAGAAGCTTCAAGCTTTAAGAAAAATAGAAGAATCAACACAACAATGATTACGTAGCAGAACTCGTATAACACAATGACCTCAGCCACCTAGCAGTACACCTAACCATGTTATGGTTGAATTTGACAACCAAATCCAGTATTTACACCACTAATGTCTTTTCTACCCTTGCAATCACTTCTACAAGTGAATTCCAGATATTTTACATTGGTAAGTAGCATTAAAATGCTACTTAACAACTTTCCATACAAAAACAGGTTTTCTACATGGCAAATACCAGTTTCCTGGTCTGCTCAACTCATCTTCTTGAGGTAGTGTTACTTAAGATCAAATTATTTATGTCAAAGGGTTAACAAAATTTGCACAAGACTTCCCCCTCTTTGTTTTATCAGATGCTCAGAACATTGGGAATCACAAGCAGAACGAAAAGAAGGGCAGAGAGAATCACAAACTTATTTGTCAGTTTTTTGCATCTGCATTGTGAAGTCAGCTTCTGCCCCAAAACAGTTCCACAATTTGCCAAGTTTATTTTGACTCTTGACCCATTTCTTTCAACACAAGTAACATCCCTTGCAATTTCAGAGTCAAAATCTTAAAAGCAGTCTATTCCACCATTCATGTTGTTAATAAGCTGAACAGTACTGGACAGACACCTACTTACTACTGCCTCCAATGTTGACAGTAAACCAGTTTGTTCTAGTTGTGACTAGATGGAAGGCTGGCATTCATTTTTTGGCTACAAGGCTGCATTTTGCCAGAACGTCAGCTCTCACTATAGATTTTTATATTTAAAAGTACCTCATTTGCTGAAAGAAGGTCGGTAGTTAAATATTTCCTCTCACCTGTACAATTTGATCTCTTAAATTATCATTTTCTTCCTCCAGGCTTCTCTTATCACCAAGTGCTGTGGCCAGTGCAGCTTCTTTAGAATTGAGGGCTGCTTCAAGCTCTCTGATTTTTATTTGAGCTGCATTGAGGTCTGTTTCTTTTTTTTCGTAGCTGCAATAAATCACAGAAAGTGGTAAGAAAGTCTAGAAATGCTCCCAAAGTAGACTACTAAGTAATAAAACAAGGTGCAATCTGAATCTTATTGAGATACACAACAAAAACACTTTGTCTTGGCTTAATTTACCTAATTAAAATCAACTCCTTTCTGCTTTCTCATCTGACAAGCACTAGCTTAGCATTTCACTTGGCTGTAGAAATCTAAATATAGGGGAAATTCAAGAGCGTCAAACAAGTCTGAGACACATAGAAAGGGGAAACTGTTTATTAAAGGCTTCTCTTGTTTTCTCTTTAGCTAGCCACCGTTGAAACAGCCTACCTTCAACAGTATCTTAGTAGGAAGAAATAAGCTCTCTCATCAGAAGGCTCTTTCCATAGGGTGGAAAGCAGTAAATTAACTTCATAGTTTTTTATCCACTCAAGAACTTGTGCAAATAAGCCCATTTCTAATTAACAGATCAACTTCTCAATGAAGATTTTATGTTCCCTGTCTATAAAGAAGTCCTTCATAAGCAGAAGCTGTATCACTGAAAATTGCTTTCTAATCATGCATAGTGGCAAAGTTACACAGCATTGAGGAAAGAAACCCAAATCCTGCCTATACAACAGTATGCTGAACTACTGAAACTGCACTGGTGCAGAGGTACAGGTGTCCTCCTTTACAAAAGCAAACACACAAGATTTTCAAAATACTCAAATTATTTTTCATTCCTATATAAGCAGTCAGTGTCTAGAGGTTTATTCCCCAAAACAGCACATGCAAACAAATCAGTCAAATGAGAAAAGTACTGCAACAGAAAACCACACACTTCAGCCTGAATTTATTAATTACTCACAAATAATTCTACGACAGGCTACTATCAAAAATGGGGAAAAGGAAAATAATACTCAGTAATCAAAATACTGGCACAAGCAGTTGTGTTTAAATGTGTAACACAAGTCCTTCCACCTTGAAGCTGATTCTTTTTCTCTCTGGGATAATCACATTTCCCTACTAAGGGCAGTAACGTACATCAGTTCTAGATGTCTATAATCAACAATTGATTTTATGGGAAAGGACAGATTCAGGCTCAGTAAGACCACAGCTAGCACATTCTTCAGTTTTTACATTTTTTGCAGAAGTAAACCCACCCACCCCCCCCCCCCCCGAATTCACAACACTAAACTGAGAAGACCGAAAATTGGATGAAGACTCTTAACAAAACTGTCAAAGCATTAATACATTATTTTTAATCACTCTATTGCCTATAAGAAATAGGAATGCTTCTCAGTGAAATGAGACTAGTACTAAAAATAAACACGCAATTTTAAAAGGAAAGATTCTCAAATTTAAAAGATACATGCAACATATGTAATTAACATCATCCTCAAGAGAGACTTGCAAAAAAACACCTGTCGACATAAAAGTAACGTTTCAGCACTACAGCCAGAAGATGGCAGGCTTTACATAACAGACTCAGCTCCAGCTAATCCGGCTCCTGGTGAGTAAACACCACACTTAACTAAACGGGTAGACTGCAAGAACCTAGACACACACAAATACTCTTCTACCCTCAACTACTTTTTTCATTTCTGCTGCTCAACACTACCCAGTCCCTCCATAGCATTTTACATACCCCTGCTTAGACCCAACCGTTCAGAGCAGTTAGGTCCACAGATAGGGCAAAAGCACAGAATTTACGTTTTGATCATGTGGACTCCTAGTTCTAGCTCTTAAAAATTATTCACTGATCTCTGCCCTGTCTCTTCCCTCCCACCCAGGCCTGTACGAACTTCACTATGCAAGGAAGCTGTGCAGCAGAGGATAAAAAAAGAGGGAAGGAAATGTGTCTTGCTATGGTACATCTGTAATAAAATCTCCATTACCTATTAGGGAGGTATGAAGGCCCACATCAGGCCTTTGTCATTTGATCACTCCTGGATAAAACTTTATTCAAAACATGGAGACGCTGCTTCAGACAGGCTTTCTCACAAGACTTCATGCTGAAACCAAGCTGGATCCTAAAACCAGAAAGTCGCACACACAGAGGCTGCAGTGTGCTGCTTCACACACAACCCTAAGTTAACTACCTTATCTTGGACTTCAAAAGAGGAAGATTCCCCAAGTAAACTTACTTTTTTTTTAATGCAAATACCTCTACCAATTACAAACTGGTAGACAGCTGAAAAGGAGCTCTTGCAATTGGAGCACGATAGAAAAAGATGTATAATATGGACAAACAACAATATGATTAAAACCCAATACACTGCTTGTACCACTAAATTCGGTATTACAAATTTCATCAGACCAAAGTACCCTTCTGGCTTGTTTGCAACAAGATGACTGTGAAGCCATCCTACATTTAATGTAAGTGAAGTCACAGAAGCAGAGAGGGGAAGACTGATTAAAATTAAGCACTATTAGTGTTAAGATTTGTCTAACTATGTGTTTGGATGGGCCGTCTCATTCTCAGAAAGAAACAGAAACTGGAGCTCAACACTTCAAACGCTGACAGCCAGATGAAATCTCAATTCAGCAGTGTCATTCCAACCCTAAAGGAATATGGGAAAGTGAAATAAGATCAGAAACGCCCCTGTGAATTAGAAAAACCAAACTTTAAATGTATACAACATATACATCACCCTTACACCTAGTAATTTTTACCATGAAGAGTATCAGTCTCCTCCTTATTTCTCTGGGTGCTCTCTTACAGTGCACATTAGAAGACTGTCAGGTTTCAGATTAAAGCTCAGCAGTTCTCTTGCCAGCAATCTTCACCTTCCTAAAATCACCTACAATAACGAACACATGCTTTGAAACATTTCACGTCTGCTTCCTCAAACAGCTCCTCGAGCTCTTATGCACACCAAATATGCACCACAGGAAACCCTGCAACAGCTGTTACAACTTTGCTTGCATTAAGATAACATTGTTCTTCTGAGTTCTTCGCTCAGGGTACCAGCTGCAAAATGCCTCACACTTGCACAGTAATTCAAGCCACAGGCTCATACTGTTATGGATATTCCTTTCACTGTCTAATCCCACTGAAGAAATTCATTTAAGAGTATTGAAGGAAGACCAATTGAAGATACAAAGCAAAAGAGCCAGAGAAATAATCTCTTCAACATTAAAAATGCATAAAACTAGTTCCTTGCCACAATTACATTTACCATAAACACTCCGTCACTGTCAATAATCTCTTTGATGTAGGACCTTCATGGGGCACCAAGAAGTAACCACAAGAACAACTAGACTCACTAATTAGAAACTCAATAGTTTTGTTGGGGTTTTCTTTTTAAATAATAAGAGCCCAAGTTTATATTGGAGCTGTCTGCAGACATATGAAAACATCATTATGCTGGTTCACACATATCTTTTTCCATTATGAAAAATGATGGCTGAGAATGTGTTTAACTGAAAAATCAAAATTAACAAGTTATACTTGTTTTTTTTTTCAACATCAATCCTTACACAACATTTGTGATCTCAAGACTAAGACCAGAATGGCAGGTGGGCTTCACTAATGAAAAAAAAACAAACAGAAGATTCTTTTTTTGCTAATGGAAAGCTACAGCAGTCACAGAAATCAAATTTAAGGTAAACACAAGCAAGGAAGCAAATCAACAACTGAATCAAGTCAAATGTGCAAGAAGCAAAATCTAGTAGCATAAATCAGTTCATTGCAAGGGTAGAGATCTTGGCATTGTGCCAAAGTTTGCAATCCTGAGAATATCTGGTCGCAAATTTACCTTTTCTTACATTTAAATACCTAGCAAAATACATTTATAGTTACATTTTGGTTTAAGAAAATTCCTACTTGTTACCTACTCGCGTAATTTTTTTATTATGATATTAACATCTTTCAGAAAGGACATTTAGAAAGCCTAGACCCAAGAAAACCACTATACAAACTGTCATCACTCTGCATTTTTCCTCCTGAAGCGGCTTAAACCAAACGGACAGGGTCATCTGTCTGTAAGGAGAGTGGTGGTGAAGGGTCACCCTGATTCAAACCCAGGATGAACCCGGGCTAAGTTCCGAGGGTGCCGCCAACACTCGTTCACGCGGAGAGCTTGGTCTCCGTAGCGGGGCACACGGGCGGCGGCTCTCTGGCAGCCAGGCGACAGGCACCGCCATCCTTACGGCCGCAGGCGAAGCCGGCAGGCGCGGGGCGGCGCTCCGGGGGCCGGGCCAAAGCTTCCCGCCGGGGCGGAGCAGGGCAGCGCTGCCGCTCGCTCATTCATTCAAAGCCGGGACGGGCGGGCGGGAACTGCCACTACGGCGGGCACCGCTCAGCCCGGCCGCCGGCTCCCCCGTATCTCCTTTACGCGTACCCTCTCTCACCTGCCCCGGAGCTGCTCATAATCGGCGCGGAGCTTGCTCAGTTCGATCTGCAGCCTGGCCCGCTCCCGAGCAGTGTCGTCCAGCGTCTGACGGGCGTCGGCCAACTCGGTCTCGTAGACCGCCTTGAGGCTGGCGACCTCGCGGCCGCGCACCTCCTCCCGCTCCGTGACCTGCAGCTGCAGGGAGCTGTTCTCCGTCTCCAGGCTCCGCACCTTGTCGATGTAGACGGCCAAGCGGTCGTTCAGCTGCCGCAGCTCCTCCTTCTGCTGCAGCCGTAATTGGTGCGTGGGACTCAGCTGCAGGGAGGCCGCGGAGCCCCGGCTCCGCGACCCCAGCGGTGTGACGGACGCCATGGCGGAGAGGCGAGAGGAGCGGGAAGACGGGAGACCGGGCGAGAGACGCCGCAGCAGTGACAGAAGCACACCAACACCGGCAGGTCCGGTCGGGAGGCGAGCGAACAGCAACCCAGCTACCGCCGCCTCCCGCGAAACACGAACGATGCCCGCCTGCAATTGCTCCGCTCGGCGCCGCGGTCCAATATGGCCGGCTGTCGCCCAGCCCCGCGCCCACGTGACCAGCCGCAGACCAATCGCGATCCGAGGCGGGACGCGCGCCGCGTCCCGCCGCCGGCTGGAGACTCAATTCAAAACCCGCCACCGTCCGCAACTGTCAGCCGGCGCGCGAGGCGGGCCCCGCCCACACCGCGGTGCTGCTGAGGGGGCCGCGCGCGGCGGCGCCTTCCTTTGTTGCCTCTTCCCGGCTCAGGACAAAGGCAGCCGGGCCCGGGCGGGTCCCTGCGGCCGGGCCGCCTTCCGCCGCCCCGCAGGGCGAGGCGGACTCCCCTAGCCCCCGGGGCCTGCACCCCTGGTCTCGCTCACCTCCCCGCCGGCCTCCCGTGCTCTGGCCGGGGGAGATGTTCTCTTTCGGTAAGAAAAGTGATCTTGCTGCGCCAAACGTTTCCTAGCCCGCATTTACTCTTCCTCTTCTGTAGGCTGTAATTTGAAAACTCCTGGTCCTGCAAGTGCCTGAGCGCTCGTTTTTGAGCTGCCTCAGATTAATACTCGTTGCAATATTCAAAATGCTCAACCCAGGTTTCAGTGTTAGTATTTTAATAGTCTTTATCTGATGTCAGTCTGGCTCCTAAGGGTTTATTGTGAGTGAGATGTTGTGTCCTTAATTAAAAGTTAAACATTAATTTTCCAGGAAAAACATGAATCGTTTGGTGCTGCAACAGCAAGGAGTGAAAAAGCCACATTCATAAGTGTGGAACTGAGCCTACTGAAGCTTTTGATTTATAGCTTTTAAATAACCACTGTCCCTTCACAAGCTACAATGTTGGCTGTATCTTCTGGGGGTCCATTTATGTGAGGGACCACTGTGCATTGCAGCTGTACATCAGAAAGTAGAAACCAGGAAGAGGAACACGGTGAGGAGTTCTAAATCTCAGGTGTAAACCCAATTGTCCTCACAGAAATTCCTGTAGAGAAGGCTTGTCAGCAGGAAAACACTAAGGTTTCCTACTACTTACATTTCCTTAAAGTCTTTTAGTAAGGATCCTTCTAGAAGAAGCACTTACGAGATTCCAGAAACCAGGTAGTTTTCCACCAGACTTGAGATCGCCCCTGTGGGATCTGGGTGCCCCTTCACAGTTTATGGACATTCATTCTGCTTTCAGCTAGTTTAGCAGAACATTTTTTGCACATTTCCACCAATAAGAGACACCCCCTCAAACAAAAAGGTAAAACAAGTACTCCTGTCACAGGGGTGTATACAACTATAGCCTTTTTCCCACATGGTGCCTTTGTTGACACAAACCATCATCTGTTGTTCCTTTTTCCTCCTCTGCCTGCTATTACAATTTGCTGTTTTCCAGCCCTTTGGGAAAATAGTAAAGCTGGCTAAAAAGAGGGACAACAGCTGAGGAAAAGGAAAAAAACACCCACAAAAAAAAAAAACAAAAAACAACCAACTCTGTAGCACCTGCTGCAACATAAAATTGTCAACAAAGTAGGATTATAGCCCAAGGTAGTTTTACACTGCAGCTGGCACTAGAAAAAAACGATCTGTATTTACAGGCAGTACAAGAGGCAGACAAAATTTGGAAGATTTTATTGTTGTAAGAACTGAGCCCTCTGAGGTATTTAGTGCTGATTCTGATTCTGTCTACTCCCAGGATTTAATTTGGTGCTGGGTTTTAAATCACTGAGTTTTCATTAGAGAAATATACATGATCATTATTTCCTCCCCACCCACCCCCACTCACCACCCCACCCGATATCGTTTTGTAGTTAGTGTGCCTGAAGCAAAGCTTTTTTTTCTTCCTCTCTCCCAAAGTGTTACGGGTGGGGTATGTTTCAGTTCATCTCCTAGATCAAAAGAATGTATTTAAAATCCAAACTGTGTGTAAGAAGGCCTTCCTTTCTCCTCAGAAGCCTCAAGCTTTAATTTCTTTTTTGTTGAAACTATTGCATTTTAGCCTCCCAGCCTACCACGTAGGATGACATTCGATGGGGCTTACTTAGCAGACTAGGTTGGCTAGTAGCATAAAAAATAGATGGAAACAAATATTGTATTAGTGTCTTGTAATAATTACTGGTGAAAACCAAAATGTTTGTCTCCCCAATTCCATGCTTACTTTCCACTAGTCTGTGTTTTTAGGTTGTTACTTCCACCTAATCAAAAAATTAATGTTGATGTAGCATTTCCTATGCACATTAATAAAAAAGAAAAAAAATCAGTTGAATTTATTAAAATCTCATTATCAAAATATAAAATCTTTTGTGTGGTTTCAAAGGCAAGATTGACTTCCATATTGGAGTAAATTAATCTTCAGTAACCATGCCATCAGATTTCTCTGCCATTTGCTTACAACTGAGATTTCTTCCTGCTAATTGTGTGATTGAATTTGTCTTCCTCTACTAGTCTGAAAGAGAAAGTAAGAAAAGAATTGGCCTTCACACAGTGCCTCGGCTGATATCAGACGCTTTACTTGTGAAACTGACTATCAACATTGTTCCTCTTCACTCTTGGCAGCTTGGGCCTGATACAGCACGCATATGGGATATACTTCCTTTGTATAGAAAAGCCTGTAAGTGCCCTTATTAAGTCAGGCAGAGGGGTCACTCACTGATCTGAGGCACCAGGCAGTCACCGAGGACTGAGCACTGACATTCCCATGCCTCCAGGCTGCTGCCTACAGGAACCAGGAGTGTTTTCTCTACCTCAGAAAACCAAAGGAATGTGATGTTTACCACTGCAGCTAACAACTTGACTCAAAACATTTTCATCTTATTTCAGTTTACTATGACAACACTTTACAGCTCTTGGAGCTGATCTGTGAAATACATCACACGTACTTCAACACAGCTTTGAAATACCTCCATAGCTACAATTTAATACCGTTGTAATCTACAGAAATTGTACGTATTTGGCATGCACACATCTTCTAGACACAATAGGCTATGTTACACTTAGACTTGCCTCTGCTAAACATGGAAGGTATTTCACCAACTGAGACATGTTTAAAGAAAAGCTTTCTAACATGCAGCATTTAACAGAAAGGCGATTTGATTTTGGTTTGTTGGTTTGCTTTTTTACACTGATTTAAATAAACAAACTTTAGAATCTGGAAAAGTTTGTGGAAAATTAGCATAGACTGTAATTCCCAGTAAATGAACCATTTACTGAAAGACATTTTCTTATATATATATATATATATATATATATGTAAAATAAATTCTATTTATACACTATTTACTTTTAAAGTGAACAAGAATCATGGTGAATACATTCTGCAAATCTGTCAGTACACTGAGGGTTACATCAGGGATTTAAGCACGACTCTTCTAAAGAAGAAATGGACAAATCCGAGTATCAGAAAATACTGTTTATTTCCATTTGGGGAATGTCTGCTAAAGAAGAATCAAAGTAAATCCTGCCCCCTCTGCTTTCAAGAGGCAGAACAAAACAAAATGAATGGAAATGTTTCTTTGTAACAGCAAGAGTTACAGAGTAAACAGTTACAGTCCTGCTGTGCGTAGCAGGGGTGTTGCTCGGGACAGCTACATTCCATGTAAAACAAGTGAAACTTTGCTCAGCATTTTCATAATGTCAGAGCACAAAACCAGCTGTACATCCATGACACCATACCAGGGCCTAATCCAAAGTCCAATTAAGTTTTTACTTCAGTGCTGTGAAAACTTCTGGCAAGTCAAGATGTTAATTTCTTGCTCATCCAGTGCTGACTAGAGACCATTCCTGGGGACAGAGCAGCTAGGAAACAGAATCTTATTTTTCCCTTGAGATGTTGCTGCAGCAGTAGGGGGGAGTATGGGAGTGTCTGCAGCTGTTCAGAAAGATAGTAAAATCTGGAGTCTCGTCATATGAGCACATAGGATAACAGCAATACCCCTCCCTTTTTTTTATCTTCAGAAATACCAAACCAAAGCCAGTTAGACAGCTGTAGGTGCAGCATGATACATGTGTTTCTAATTGCTGCTCTAAATAGTAATAACTCATGTATGACTACATTATTCTTAATAGGAGCCGTCATGTGTAACTTGAATCCTTGATGAAAAAAATGCTGATTCTACACTGTATTTCACCAGGATTCAAACAGAGCTATCACTATTCCTGCATGAAAATGAAAAACAGACAAACAAACAAACCCCCAAAACCTGTGTTGGTTTGTTTGTTTCAGTTTTGGTTTGGGGATTTTTTTTTTTTTTTTTTTTTCATTACAGTTTAAGGTACAGTGGAAATTCAATTTTTAATTTCTGCTGGATCTTTCACACTGAAAATTTTCTTAGAAAACTTTGTCTAGTATTCTGTGGGATCTCTTCCTTCGGAAGAAGCCAAATGGGATGAATAAACATATTTGGGATGCAGCCATGCTGTATGTGTATGTCTGTGACAGGCTGCAAGATTGATAACAGAGGGAGAGGAGAAAGAGACATAGCCCAGAGAAGTGGTGCAGAAAAGACAGATGCAGAATGAACTGTAGTAAGAACTGCAGTGCTCCTCAGTATTCATTATCAAAACCACCTCTTTTCAGTTTGCCTTGCTTAATCATATCCGAAACCGTGCAGGGATGGATGTTTAAACGGATGCACACATGAGGGTGGATGGCTGGTTTGGGCTGAGAGTAGTCCAGGGAATAGCCCACCCGCACTGCTGAGGTACCTGAGGTACAGTGAGAGAAGATATAGTGACACAACTGCTAGTCATAGCTCAGCTCAGTTCCCACAGTGATTGCAAAACCCCAACGGAGAAAGGAAGATACTGTAGAAGGTAAAGAAGCAGGAACTGGGAACTGATAATTATATGGCTCCACATGAAGATCTGATTAAGCTCACTTCTAAACAGCTCTGCAAAACTAGAAAAGTTGCATTTCTGTAGAACAGGCTATAGAGCAGATTACAAACACAGACTCTCTAA